TACTTCTAAAGAATAATTATTGTTGGGGCCCCTGGTGCACGCCCCCCCCGCCGCGCCTAGGCCGCAGCCACATTTTCATCATTTTCGAGCGAAAGCCCTTGACAAAACGATGTGATCCAGGTCCGGTTGTTTTGTTCCCCCCCGCTTTCCCTTGCAAAAAACAATATCAAATGACATTTCTTGTTCTAACATAACCAAACTTCAGGAATCCATTGCAAAAAATGACACACAGTGCACATTCGCGCGCGCAAGACGAAATCCTTCCAAAACCTTAGGTTTCGTAGCGATTTTAACATAAAAACATCAAAAACCCAATGGTTTTTCAAAAAAAAGTTGTGAAAATTCTATCCCGCGCGCTCTTGCGGATTCGTAGGAAACCCAACACTTTTTTAACATTTCTGTCAAAAGGGCTTTTGCGAGCAACTTTTTCGAACTTCTGCAACAACGGTTGCGCACCTGCCAGGGCCATCATCCCTGTCAAATAATACCATGCGGGACACATTCGTTTTTTCTTCGCGCGCGCACGCCGTCGTCGTCGGCCGCGGGGCCCTGAATAGTAGCCACGGTCGTCCGCATGCCACGAAGTGAAGTGTCCGAACGTCATAGGGCGGGAAGCTGGGTGTGGGTGGTGGCGAAGAGTCGTTTGGAAATTTGGTAGAGCTTGAACCGGCCCCCCCACAAAGTGGGGGTATTGCCCGCCTCCTATGAAAACCCTGGCACTGGTGAGAACGGAGTGTCCCCACGTGCTAGTAATTGTTGTTGTTGTTGTTGTTGTTGTTGTTGTTGTTGTTGTTGTTGTTGTTGTTGTTGTTGTTGTTGTTGTTGTTGTCGTTGTTGTTGTTGTTGTTGTTGTTTTTGTTGTTGTTGTTGTTGTGGTTGTTGCTGTTGCTATTGTTGTCGTCGTTGTGGTTGTTGTTGTTGTTGATGTTGAATTCCCATGCCCAAATCATACCCCCTCCGGTAACCATTGCATTTTTGCAATTCAAGTGCTTCTCCCGGGGCTCGCACCCTGTTTGTAACAAGGGAAAGTGCGAGTTCACCAAACTGGGCCCCTGGCACCCAAATGACAACAACAACAGCTCCCGCCCAATACTTCCTAGCAGTTTATATTCAAAATCGCGCTTTTGCGGGGACCTCATCACAATGTATGGAGGAATCGCGCTTTCGCGTGGGACTTCCTCGCACTTTATTCAGACGCCGCGCCCTCGACACTCAGGAATCACGCTCTCGCTTCTTATTTTCTCAAGATTTACTTGGGAATCGCGTTGTCGCTCGAGATATCATCGCGATTTATGCAGTACTCACGCTTCAGCAACCCGCCTGCTCGACCTGGCCGCCTGGGCCCGCCTCCCGACCCGCCCGTTCGGGTCTACCCGCCCGATGTGCCCGTCTGGTTCTGCCACGTGTGTTTTCTGTTCCTAACCCCCCCTACCTGTTAATCCTGTGCTCCATCCTTCTCCCTCACTGTTCCATCCGTCCTCTCTTCCCTTGTAGTAGGATTAGGAGCTGCACCAATTGCACTTGGCAGGTAAGGAAGATGTACCCCCAGGGGGGGTACGATCGCATACGTACAGGGCGGGTACCGAGGGTTTGGGATCTACGTGTTGAGTGGCACGCGACTAGGTAAGAGCGAACAGTCTTGTCATGATGATGATGAGATGGTGATGATGATGCCGCTGATGATGACGATGATGCGATTGATTATGATGATTGTGATGATGCTGATTGTTGTTGGTGTTGTTTTTGAATCCTCACTCCTGGAGTATCTTTCTTGTTGATCCCTCCCGCCTGGTGCACATTGTTTTTTTCGATTGAAGTGCCCCTTCCGGGCCTCGCACCCGGTTTTTTACCAGGGACATTTTGAGCGTCAAATTGCGCCCCTGGCCCCCGAGTTACAACAACAACGGTTCCCGCATGATTCTTCTTCACAATTTATTGAGATATCAGGCTCTCGCGTGGGACGCCCTCCGAATGTATATTGGAATTGCGCTCTCCCGTGGGACTTCCCCGCCATTTATTCAGACGCTGCGCCCTCGACACTCAGGAATCACGCTCTCGCCGCGGATTTCCCGACGATTTACTTGGGAATCGTGCTATCGCTCGACGTCCTCGCGATTCATGCAGGACGCACGCTTCAGCAACCCGCCTGCTCGACCTGGCCGCCTGGGCCCGCCTTCCCGACCCGCCCGTGCGGGTCTACCCGCCCGATCTGCCCGTGTGGTTTTGACACGTGTTTTCTGTTCCGAACCCCCCTCCTGCTACTCTCTCTCTCTCTCTCTCGTGCTCCATCCTCCTCCCCCTGGTTCCTTCCTTCATCCGTCCTCCCTTCCCCTGCCCTAGGGGCTGCACGAAATACACGTGGCAGGTAAGAGATATATCCCCCCAAGCCGGGACGATCGAAGACGAAGAGGGCGGGTATGATTGGCGTGGGATATATTGTTGATTGGCCCGCGAGCAGATAAGAGCGAACAGTCTCAACATGATTGTTGTTGTTGCTGCTGTTGCTGTTGTCCTTCTTGTCGTGTTGTGGTTGTGGTTGTGTTTGTTGTGATTGTGGTTGTTGTGGCTTTGGTTGTGGTTGTGGTTGTGGTTGTGGTTGTGGTTGTTGTTATTATTATTATTATTATTATTATTGTTGTTGTTGTTGTTGTTGTTGTTGTTGTTGTTGTTGTTGTTGTTGTTGTTGTTGTTGTTGTTGTTGTTGTTTTGGTTATTGTTGTTGGTGGTGGTGTTGTTGTTGATGGTGATTTTTGAAACGATGATTCTTGTTAGCACCCCCTCTGGTGGCCATTCTAGTTTTTCAATTGAAGTGCCCCCCCCGCGGGGCTCGCACCTTGTTTTTTACCAGTGGAAAGTGAGGTGCCACCAAACTGGGCAGCTGGGCGCCGAGGCCCCGAACTACAACCACGGCTCCCGCCCAATACGTCTGCACAATGTTTGGAGAAGTCGCGCTCTCGCGCGGGAGTTCCCCCGAATGTGTGCAGAAATCGCGCTCTCGCGTGGGACATCCTCGCAGGTTATTCAGGCGCCGCGCCCTCGACACTCAGGAATCACGCTCTCGCTCTGGCTTTTCTCACGGTTTATTTGGGAATCGCGCTGTCGCTCGAGACTTCGTCGCGACTCATGCAGGACGCACGCTTCAGCAACCCGCCTGCTCGACCTGGCCACTTGTGCCCGCCTTCCCGACCCGCCCGTTAGGGTCTACCCGCCCAATCTGCCCGCCTTGTTCTGCCACGTGTCGCTTGCTTTTATCCCTCCTGCTATTCTCTCTGTCGTGCTACATCCTCCTCCCTCCCCCTTGTCCCATCCTTCCATCCGTCCGTATTCAGATGCAGTTTATTCAGACGCCACGCCCTCGACACTCAGGAATCACGCTCTCGCTGTGTGCTGTTTCAAAATTTGTTGGGAAATCGCGCTAGCGTTCGAGACTTCCTTGCGACTCATGCAGGACGCACGCTTTAACAACCCGCCTGCTTGACCTGGCCGTCTAGGCTCGCCTTCCCGACCCGTCCGTTAGGGTCTACCCTCCCGATCTGCCCGTCTGGTCCTACCACTTGTTTTCTGTTGTTAGCCCCCTTTGTGCTACTTACTCTCGTGCTCCATCTTCCTCCCTCCCCCTTTTCCCTTCCTTCCATCCGTCCTCTCTTTCCCTGCCTTAGGGGCTTCATGAAATACACTTTGCAGGTAAGAAAGAGACACCCCAAAGGTGGTACGATCGAAAACGAAGAGGGCGGGTATCGAGGGTTTGGGATATACGTGTTGACTGGCACGCGAGCAGGGAGGAGCGAGCAGTCTTGAAATGCTACTTTCTGTTGCGGTGGTGGTGGTGGTGGTGGTCGTCGTCGTCGTCGTCCCACTTGCGACCCGGCCCGCGACCCAGTCCGCGCCTCGCCCGCGACCCACCCGCGACCCATCCGGGACCCACCCGCGACCCACTCGCGACCCACCCGCGACCCACCCACCCGCGACCCACCCGCGCCCCGCCCCGCGCACGCCCCCTCATTCTTATCCGCAATTGCGTGGTGCATGACCTACCTCCAGCATTGTAGCTGAGATTATGCTCACTGCCGCCCTTGTCGCTTGAGCTACTCCCAACGTTGTAGCCGATATGTCGCTCACTGCCTGCCTTCTCGCCCGGAGTACTCCCAGCGTTGTAGCTGATATGTCGCCCGCTGCTTGCCTGGGGCACGAGCTACACAGCTCCTCCTCGCATGCACGACTTCTGGCGATGTAGCTAATCTTGACTGCTCACTGCCGCCCTTCCGCACGAGCTGATCCCAGCGCTGTAGCTGACTTGCTCTCGCACGGCGGCGCTGCACCAGCGTCTCCCTGCACACCCTTCGTGGTCCTCGGCTGGTCATCGAGAGGCGAAAGAGGAGGACAGGAAGACGGCAGCCCATCTTCTCGACGGCTCTCTGGCGACTGGGCCCGCACACGGACGCTGGCCTCCGAAGAAGATGCGTGTGCATGGCTCCCAGGGCCATCGCCGCTTTCAAGTCTGGCCCATCGGCACACCCTGACCCCCGCGCACAGGCCCTTTGGCGGAACGTGCCTTGAGCCAGGGAGGAGCATGGAGGAGGAGGAGGATCATGGAGGAAAGAGAGGAGGAGGAGGAGGAGGAGGAGGAGGAGGAGGAGGAGGAGGGAGGAGGAGGAGGAGGAGGAGCATGGAGGAGGAGGAGGGGAGCATGAAGGAGGGGGGAGGAGGAGGAGGAGGAGGAGGAGGAGGAGGAGGAGGAGGAGGAGAGGAGGAGGAGGAGGAGAGGAGGAGGAGGAGGGAGGAGGAGGGAGGAGGAGGAGGAGGAGGAGGAGGAGGAGGATGAGGAGGAGGAGGAGAGGTGAGGGGAGGAGAGAGGAGGAGGAGGAGGAGGGAGGAGGAGGAGGAGGAGGAGCAGGAGGAGCAGGAGGAGCAGGAGGAGGAGGAGGAGGAGGAGGAGCAGGAGGAGCAGGAGGAGCAGGAGGTGGAGGAGGAGAGAACCCGCCTCCTCCCCGGCCCCCGAGATTCGTCCTGCGGCCTGGCGTCGACATCCGCATCGGGCGGCACGCCGATAGCCAGATCCAGGCAGCGCCCGCCGCGCTCGGGCCGCGGCCGTCTTCGACGACGTCGTCGTCGTCGGCGCCGCCGGGGTTCCCCCGGAGATCCTGGCGACTCAATTTTTGCGAGCTGGGCGTTTTCGCCTTCGGGCCCCAGGACCCTCACCGATCGATCCTGATCGAAAAATGAAGCAGAAAGGTGGGGTCTAGGGCTTTGGTCGTGATTTCTGACGATGTTTATTCTTTCTCGGAATGGGCGTGGGCCCAGGGTTCTCTTTTACGAGTTTACCCTTGAAGTCGACGGGAGTAGGGCAGGCTGATTTTTCTAGATAAAATCGAGGTCGAGACGGGCCGGCGGAATCATGTTTGAGGATGTCCCGAGCGAAACGCTAGTTTTTGAAATTCTGGTCGACAGAGCACAGTGTAAAGTAAGCATTTTCGTGTGTTGTGGATGTTTCGAGCGAAACGATTGTTTTGACATTTTGTTGTGGATGTCTTGCGCGAAACGTTTGTTTTGTGCTATAGATCGTGCCTCTCCTGGGGACCAGAATTCAGAGGGTGTCTCAGGTGGAATGCTTGTTTTCACGTGCCCAGGTCTTGAGGATGTATCGAGCGAGATGCTTCGAGGATGTCTCGAGCGAAACGCTTGTTTTGCAAAACTCGAGCGGCCTGGGCGCCCCAGGATGCCCAGGTGGTTCTGGGAGCCCGAACACAGTGTAATTTACTAAGGAACGTGGTCCTGGGAGCGCGGACGCAGCATAATTCACAGGGGAGCGCAGCCCTGGGAGCGTGGACGCAGTGTAATTTACGAGGGGTCGTGGCCCTGGGAGCGCGGACGTTTGGAGCGCGGACGCAGCGTATTCCACAATAGATCGTGGCCCTGGGAGCGCGGACGCAGCCTAATCTGTGAGGGATCGTGGCCCAGGGGGGGGCGGACACACTGTAATTACTTCGGAACGAACGTGACCCTGAGAGCGCGGACACGGTACAATTCACGAGGGAGCGCGGCCCTAGGAACGCGGACGCAGCGTAGTTTACGAGGGATCGTGGCCCAGGGAGAGCGGACGCAGTGTAATTTAATAGGGATCGTGGCCTTGGGAACGCGGGCGCAATAATTTGCGACGGATCGTGGCCCTGGGAGCGCGGACGCAGTGTAATTTATTATGGATCTTGGCCCTTGAGCGGACACAGCGTAATTTACAGGGAACATGGCCTTGGGAACGCAGACACATCGTAATTCACAAAGGAGCGCCGCCCATGGAGCGCGGACGCAGCGTAATTTACGAGGGACTGTGGCCCAGGGAGAGCGGACGCAACGTAATTCTAGACGCTTCGCGTAACCTCAACGTCGCCGCCTGTGTGCTCGTAGCCCGAGCTGACTTGTGACGCCGCGACGAAAAAGTAACCCCAACGTGATCCCTGGGCGACCTCCTGAAGGAATTCGCTAACAAGCACGGCAGAGACGTTCGGGGCGCCGGGGCGCCAGACAGGTGGGCGCCCTGCTCACTCCTCCCCTTCCTGAAGCTGGTCTACGGCGACAGGGTTCCCCCAGATTTTCGTCCCCGTGATCTATACTGGAGCGGCAAGCACACCTTTGCGTCAACTCCCCCGGCAACCAGCTAAGCGATAAGTGGGCCCTGCATGCCAATGACACAGGCCCGTTGCGTGGCTCCCCTCTCCAGCACACGCTGGATGCGCTCGTGGGATTTCTGAGCCAAGTCGACGCCGACTTGCTCGCCATAGGGACGCTCTGCGATCTGGCCAAGGACTGCCCTTTCGAAGATACCCAGGACCTGTGCAGATAGTTGGGCGCCGCCCCTACCAAGGAGCACAGCGCGAACGAATGGTGGCAACAAGTCGGCAGTCGTTTCCCGCTCACCGAGTTCCGCGCTCTCACAGGCTCCGCCTCGGATCCGCTTGACTGGGCCCCCTCGGCGCGGTCCCACTCGCCGCTCACGCGGCGCGGGAACAGCGCGTCTGAGTCCGCCAGGCCCAGCCCGCACTCCTCGACGGGGAGTCGCTCGGCACGGCGCAGCCCAAGCGCCGAAGGCCTTGCAGCCAAGGCGCTGTTCCGTTGCTCCCCCGCGCAGGGTCATTGCATCGGGGCCTTCGCCCGCCGACAGCAGAGCCGCGCCCGCGGCCCGCAGCGACGCCGTCTGCGATGCCTCCGCGCCCGCGAGGCTGAGGCCGCCCCCGCCCCCCTGGCCCCCGATAAGAAGGGGGGCCGTGGTTGCCCTGACCCCTTCCCCTAACTCGGATCCACCCACCCCACCTAGAGAGGCTACCCGCAGCCCCGCAGTGGACTCCGACTACTGCAGCCCCACATCACCAGCGGACGAACCAGGGGAAGGTCCCCCACCGCGCGAGGCGGGTGGCATGGGCGCAGTCAGCCCCGCCGACTACAGGGGCCCCCCCTCCCTGGGCGCCTCCCCCCCGGGGCAGCCCCAGGCCGACAGAGCCGCGCGGGGCGAGGGCAGCCGGGGCGAGCGGTGGGGCGATTGCCGTTCATGGCGGCAGTGCGAGTCCAGCTGGCCCGCCGACGAGCCGTGCAATCGTTCCCCTCGCGCGCGGTCAGCCCCCTACGCAGACGCACGGTCGGCCCCCTAGTCCCCCTACGCAGACGCGCAGTCGGCCCCCTCGCAGGACCTAAACGACCCACGCACAGGCCAGTACATGAACAAGACCCCCCCGCTGGAACAGGTTCAGCTCTCCCCATTCCGCGACGAGGGCCACGCCGACGCTGTGAAACGCCCGCAGAAGGAGCTCGGGGACTACTTCAGTGGGATTTGGCACAAGCGGGCGCGCAAGCGCCCCGCCAGGACTGGCTGCGTCGGCGCAGGCCCCGCCAAGCAGGATCCGGGGTCCTGCGAGGAATTCTTCCGGGCGCGGTATCAGCAACTGCCGCCCCGTGGAGATGGGCGAGGCATTGCAGCTCCAGGTCTACTGGCCGTCTGTCCGTAACAAGTTCGCCAGCCGCGCGAAGGGTAAAGGTGCCCCAACCAAAGGCAGAGGCAAACATCGATGGAACGACGATGCCTCTCGGCGGGCAAGCCGAGGGGGCTCTAGGCGGGCCGCGAGCTCGCGCCGGCCCTGGGCGCAGCAGTAGGCGCCCCCCCACGCGCCACCGCCCTCGCAGGGCCCCATCTGCACCAGCGGGACCTTCCATTCCCTGGGGCACGCTTCCGGATACCCCGGCGGAGTTGCCTGCCTCATCGCTCTGCCGTCGCTACCTCCACCCCGCGGGCGCCAGCCCCTGTGTGCCACCTGACGATGGAGTCAGGCCCAGGCGTCTCATGACTCGCCTACCTCCCCCCTGGGCCAACGCTGCGGGGGGCCCCCCCGGTGCAGCTGGGGATGCCGGCTCGCCCTTGGTCCCCAGGAGACCCCGGCTCCCGGGCCCTCCCTTTGCGGCCCCTCGCCCTCCGGCGTTGCGCCGCCACTCTCGGCCCGCCCTTGGCGCCGCCCCGGGGTCGCAGGAGCCCCCCTCGCCCTGGCTGGAGGGGGCCGTGCTGCTAGCTACGTTACTGCAGCGACATTCTCCACGGCGCTGACCTTCCTGTCTGTCCTAGCTCTGCCCGCGCACTCTTACTTCGCGACTGTTTAGTCGCGCCCGCCTTCCTTGCCCCCGCGCTCGCAGCTTAACGTCTAATGCGACTGTCGGTCGCGTCCCTCCGACTCCCAGACCCAGCGTTGCGACTGTCAGTCGCTGTCTCCCCCCCAGCCGCGGCCGCGCCTGGCGGCCGCCCCAGCCTCGTGCCTACTGCCGCCCCGCGAGCGCACTGTGGGGGTGCCTGCCCTCCCCTGGCCCCCCGGCTCGCCCTCGCTCGGGCCACTTGCGACGCTGCGCCCCCGGGCGCCGGGTCGCCCCCCGTGCGCCCGCCCCCGCGCCGCAGCGGGGCTCCTCGGCCCCCCCGTCGTCTCTCGCTTCGAGACCGCCAGGCCAACTGGGGCACGGCTGCTGACGCTGCGCGCGCCGCCCCCGCCTGCGGCGCTGCTCGTCGTCGCAGCCGCCGCGGTTCATGCCGCGCAACTACCAGCAACAGCGCCGCTGCCGCCGGCTCTCCCGTGGGCGACGACGATGGTCGGGGTCGTCGCAGTCGGTGCTCGGCGGCGCCACTCTTGCGTGCGAGGCCGCAGGGAAGCTCCCCTCGGTCCGTCGCGCTCGGGCCAGCGTTCTCGGTGAGTCCCTTCGCTTTCTGTAGATAGGCTCCGCAGGTGGGGCACTTCCGCGCTGCGCCGGCCTCTTACTGTCTTCCCCCGCCGCCCCAGCCGTGCGCGGGAGGTCGCTGGGGGGCCCCCCCGACCCTGGGCGCTCCAGCGCAGGGCTGCGACTTTCTTCCACTGGTTCCCCGCCTCTACTGCTCCCGTGCCGCCCAGGCGGTGGTCTCGGCGCCCCCGCCGCGGCGGCGCCCCCGCAGCTTCCGCGCCCCTGTTCTCGGGATCCGGGGCCTCTGTATTGAGCGCCTGCAAGCCTTGTTCGTCGTCCTCTTCGGCTGCGTGGCGGCGGTCATCGAGTTCGTCGGCTTCTTGCTCTTCGCCATTTTGGCGCTGCGCGTCGACCTGCGGTTCTTCTTGGCCCCCCGCGTTCCCCGAGCCGCAGCGTCGCCCGCTCCTGTGCGCCCCAGCGCGTAATTTAGGCCGTAGCGTTGACGCTTCGTTCTGACGTCGCCCGGCGTCTTCCGGCGCGCTTGCGATCAAAAAGTAACCCCGCCAGCCTATCCAGAGACAATGCCCAGAGAATTTGTTTCGATCAGGGACGTGGGCAGCACGCAGATGAAGGGCCTATCTTGGAGCGCTCTTAGGAGACTCTTGGGCGCTCTTGGGGCCGTCTGGGGGCTCTCTTGGGCCTCTCTTGCGTCTTGGGGGCCTCTTGGCGGGCCAGGGGGCTTCTTGGGGCGTCTCGGGGGGCCTCTTGGGGCCTCTTGGGGGCCTCTGGAGAGCCTCTTGGAGGCCACTTTGGCGCCTCTCGGGGCCTCCTCGGCGCCTCTTGGGGCCCTCTTGAGGCGCTCTTCGGGGCCTTGGGGGCGCTCTTGAGGCCATCTTGGAGGACATCGATCAAACGAGAGGGGTGGATTTATTAGCCTTGCCCTTCGGGGCCCCCGGAAGTTGCCTCTTGGGGCGCTCTTGGGGCGCTCTTGAAGCGTTCTGGGGCGCTCTTGGGGCCGTCTTGGGGTTCTCTTGAGCATCTCGTGGGCCTTCTTGGCCATCTTGGAGACGCCTTGAGGCTTCGGATGGTCACCCGAAGCGAAAGGGCGAGAAAACACAAGGCATTGATTGCCCAAAGGTTCTGGACGGATTTTGTCCTCTTCGGGGCCTCCTAGGGGAGCGCTTGGCCACTTGGAGCCGTCTTGGAGCGGTCCTGGGGCCTCTTAGGGGCCATCTTGAGGCATATTGGGATGTTTTGGGCCATCTTGGAGGTCATCTTGGGCTGGCCAGGGCGCTCCTGGAGCCATCTTAATCAGCGCCCCCCCCCAGGAGGCCATAATGTGGCTCAAACCGCAGTGGCGCCAATGATTTTGGCGTTCTCGCCGAGGCTTCTTGGGGCGCCTTGGGTGCCTCTGGGGGGGCTCTTGGGGTCTCTTGGGGGTCTCTTGGGGGCCTCTTGGGGGCATCCTGGGGGGGCTCTTGGGGGCCTCGTGGGGCCTCCTGGGCACCTCTTGGGGCTCTCTTGTACCCCCTTGGGAGCCTTGGGTGCCATCTTTGGGTGATTTTGGGGAGCGTCGATCGAACGAGAGGAGGGCGTCAATTAGAGTTGCCCCCCAAGAGGCCAAAATGGGGCCAAAGCCTTAGTAACACCAGTGATTCTGGCTTCCTCGCAGAGGCCGTTTTGGGTGCCCTGACACCTCGCGACTGGCCCCGTCCAGGTCCAGGGGAGGGGGTATGGGGGAGGGGCCAAGACACCCTCTCCGCACGCGAGCCGTCTAGCTCACTCCCGCCCGCCCTCCCACCACATAAGTGGCATCCGAGTTTCGGCATAACCAGGGGTCGCCACCGGATGGACAGCTACTGTGAACCAAAGCGGACGCCAGGTGCGCGATGCTCGCCGCAGGCACCACATGCGGTTGGTGTGCCATCCTTGTACAAAAGCGTGATGTTCCCCCGTCCGCATGGTTCAGATGCTGGTGTGGGGGGCGTCAGCATTGTTTTGGGCCTGCGTACAGCAAGCATCATCACGCGGGCACCACCGCAGTCCCTGTCAAATTACCCAGGCGACGAACCCAAACCCTGCGCAATGCGGGGCACGAGTAGCCTGGGACACGTTATACAGAGGTGATGATGTGACATTGGCGCATCTAATTTTGCGAGCGGCATTCGTGAGGCTCGCAACCCCCCATGGACGGCGAGGTCCGGCTTAGATCTGCGTGGTGCCTCACTCCGCTGGGCCCGCCAGCAGCCTTCGAACGTGGCGACAGTTCCGCACGCTCCGGTGGAGCTCCCTATGGGGCCACGAAGCGCTGTGTTCGGTGGGCGAAAAAATGCCAAATTGTGTGTGTGTGTGTGTGTGTGTGTGTGTGTGTGTGTGTGTGTGTGTGTGTGTGTGTGTGTGTGTGTGTGTGTGGGACGCATGCGGGCGGTCCCACTGGGGACTTCGGTGGAGCTCCCTATGGGGCCACGAAGCGCTGTGGTGGGTGAGTGAAAATGCCGAATTCATTCGTCCAGGAAGGTCCCACTGGGGCCACGAAGTGCTGTACTGGGTGGGTGAAAATGCCCAATACGTACGTCCCGGACGGTCCCACTAGCGGCTTCAGCGGAGCTCCCTATGGGGCCACGAAGCGTTGTACTGGGTGGGTAAACGTGTCAAATTCACGTGTCCCGGACGGTCCCACTGGGGGCTTCGGTGGGGCGCCCAGGGGGCCACGAGACGCTGTACTGGGTGGGTGAAAATGCTAAGGTCATGCGTTCCGGACGATAGCACTAGGGGATTCGGTGGAGTTCCCTATGGGGCCACGAAACGTTATTCTGGTGGGTGAAAATGCGAAATTCATGCGTCCCCGACGGTCCTTCTGGGGGCTTCGGTGGAGCTTTCTTTGGGGCCACGAGGCGCTGTACTGGGTGGGTGAAAATGCGAAATTCATGCGTTCCGGACGGTAGCTCGCGGGGCTTCGGTGGAGCTCGCCATGGGGCCACGGAACGGTGTATTGTGTGGGTGAAACGTAGGGAGGACGGAGGAGGAGGAGGAGGAGGAGGAGGAGGAGGAGGAGGAGGAGGAGGAGGAGGAGGAGGAGGTGACCCAGAGCAAGGATCCCTCTCAAATTACGCTGCGTCCGCGCTCCCAGGGCCACAATCCCCCGTGAATCCCTCCAGCCCTTTAGGGCCTAAGTGGTCTAGGGCGTTTTGCCTTCCATCTGCCCCGCTTCCCCTTCGGTGAGGAGTGCATCGCTGCTCCCTATAAATCAACACCCCCTCCCCCACCTGGCCGGCAGCCAACCCGAAACCATGCGGGCGTCCCCCGACCATCCCTGTCAAACAAAAACAATACAAAATGCACATTGCGGGGCCCACCCTGCCAACACCCACCACAACCCCTCTCAAAAACAATACGAAGTGCAGATCGCAGCAAAGTCTGGACAGTGCGCTGGCGCCCTGTGAGCACGTTGTCTTGTTCCCAACCATCCTGGGAGTCCCGTTGCACGTTCCCTGACGCGTTCCCTGGCACGTTCTTGGCACGTTCCGTGGCGCGTCCCGTGGCGAGTCCCTTTGGCACGTCGCGCGGCGCGTCCCCTGGCCCGTCCCGTGGCACGTCCATTGGCACGTTCCGTAGCGCGTCCCCCTGGCACGTCCCGTGGCACGTCCATTGGCACGTTCAGTAGCGCGTCCCTTGGCACGTCCCGCAGCGCGTCCCCATGGCACGTCCCCTGGTACGTGCTCTGGCGCGTTCTTCGGGACGTTCTGCGGCGCGTTCTCCTGGCATGTCCCCCTGTCAAGTAGCCCTGGGGCAGCTACTACATGCTCAGGCAGCTCGAGCTTAAGATCCAGATCACTTCGGTCAGGACCCGGATGCACAGGAGGACTCGATCCACAACCCTTAGAGCACACTCGCGGCATGGCACATCGCAATTCAGCACGGCGCAGCACAGCACAGCCCTCCTCACGGTACATCAAGATCGATACACTCAGCATTGCATTTACCCGTCGCCCGATCAGGTGTCTTTGAAAACGTTGCCATGCCTTACAGTTTTGTATTCTTTTCCGGGTCCGTGGGTCGATCTTGCTTCGAGGCGTCGGATCGCAGAGCCCCGAGATCCTGGCGTCTCATCTTTCCAGCTTCAAGGTTCTGTCGACCTGGGCGCGGCCGACGCGGCTCGATCTCGACTCTGGGCCCACGGTGACGGGGCCCAGTGCGATGCTGTGCCGACCCGATCCGATTCCCTTGGCATCGTTCGGACGTGTGCATCTTTTGGGGCGAGGAGGAGGAGGAGGAGGAGGAGGAGGAGGAGAAGGAGGAGGAGGAGGACCATCGAGGGGCATCTCGGATCGCCCCCCGAGAAAAGGCGCGCGCGCCCAACATCGAAAGATGCACGGCCGAGCGGACGTCCGACCGACGGCGAGCTTCCACCTCCTCCTCCTCCTCCTCCTCCTCCTCCTCCTCCTCCTCCTCCTGAATGCCCAGCGCGGGGGCGCCGGGGCGCCCGCGGTGCCTGCCTCGTCTTGAACGGCCACCAGAGAGTCGGGGGCGGCCAAGAGGGGGTGATGACTAGGGGGGGGGTGGATATCATGGCGTGGGCCATGGCATTTCCCGAGATTTCATGGCGCCTCTTCTTATTTCATTGCGTCCCTGACCCCCCCCCGGGGCCGCGTACATGCCGCCGGCCATGATTTGCGCCCTCCCCCCCCCTCTTGGACGCCCCTATCTTGGCCGCCCCCGAGAGAGCCGAGTTGTGACCAGAAATTTGTTGGGGTGTCGAGCCGACTTTGATCAGGAGGGGAAAAAACATACAGACACCATTGATCGTCGATTCCCGAGAAAAGATGTGGAAATATAGACATTGCGGGGAGAGATCGCTGGAACATTTCCTTGAAGTCCCGATCCCGGGGGGCCTCGCGCAATGCCTTAATGGACGAAGCACTAGGGAGAGACGAGGAGGACCAGCGAACACTCAAGGAGGGGGAAGCGTAGGAGCCTCACGCCGAGAAGCCTAAGGAGGAGAAAGAAAGGACGAGGGGGGAGGAGAGCGGTGAGGTCCCGAATGCTGGCGAGGTCCTCGCCAGTGCCGGCGCCCGCACCTGCAGACAGCATCTCGCTGGGAGCGTTTCCGGACCGCCCTCAGTTGCAGTGTTGTAACACACTTTTTCTTCCGTTGATCTCTTTTGATATCTCATCAGTCAGCAGACCCTGTGACAGCTCGTCGTCATCGTCGTCGTCGTCTTCGTCGTGGCGTCGTCGTCGTCGTTGCTTCGTATCGTCGTCGTCGTCGTCGTCGTCATCGTTGTCGTCGTCGTCGTCGCCGTCGCCGTGGCTGTCGCCGTCACCGTCGCGGTCGCCGTCGTTGTCGCCGTCGCCGTCGCCGTCGCCGTCGCCTGCGACGTCGTCGCCCTGGTGTCGTTCTCTTTGACGTCGTTTTCCGCGTCGTCGCCGTCGGCGTCGCCAGGTCGACTTCGACGGTGTGTCCGGCAAGCACGCGGAGCTCTTCCTGGGCGTCGCGTCGCAGGAGCGGCGGCGGGGGGGCGAGGGGGGGGGAGAGGGAGAGGAGGGGGAGGGGGAGGAGGAGGACACCTGGATGGGGAGGAGGAGGAGGAGGAGTACCAGTGTAAACCCAAGAGTCATCAACGATGTTGGAATTAACCCTCACTCCAAGCTCCCTCTTCATAGGCCCCTACAACGGTTCATTTCCATTGAGGGAATTGCTTCGTTGGAAGACAACTGGGACTTCAGCACCACGAGTGAACATAACTGTTGCACCCGCATAATCCTGAATCCTTCCCAAACACTATTTCTGGTGCGTTGATCATGGGAATCCATGAAACTCTTGCGAATTTTGAAAAAGGAATGTGCGCGGCGCGAAGGCGAGAGCCACATTTTGAAAACGACACGCATGTGCGCGGCGCTCAGGCGAGAGCGATATTTTGAAAACGACCCGCTCTCAATCCGTGGAACGCTGGCAAATGTTTGAATAGTTTACAACGAATGTGCGCGGCGCTAAGGCGAGAGCCACATTTTGAAAGCGACCCGCCCGCAATCTGCGAAACTCTGGCAACTCTTCAAAACGAATGTGCGCGGCGCTAAGGCCAGAGCCACATTTTGAAAACGACCCGCCCTCAATCCGGGAAGCCCTTGTAGTTTTTTGTAAAACGAATGTGCGCGGCGCTGAGGCGAGAGCCACATTTTGAAAACGACCCGCCGCAATCCGTGCAACGGTTGCAAATTTGTACAACGAATGTGCGCGGCGCTAAGGCGAGAACCACATTTTGAAAGCGGCCCGCCCTTAATATGTGAAGCTGTTGTCGATTTTTAGCGTCAGAGTCATACATGGTGAGGAAGTATCAGGCGAAACGCCTGGCCCGCCTGAAAAACTGGTTTCGGGGTACGACAGGGACAATGCATTTATAATGAAAAGGATTGGAGGAGGAGCTGGAGGAAACGGAGGAGGAGGAGGAGGAGGAGGAGGAAGAGGAGGGAGGAGGAGGGATGAGGAAGAAGGAGGAGGAGGAGGAGGAGGAGGATGAGGAGGAAGGGGGAGGGAGGAGGAGGGATGATGAGGAAGGAGGAGGAGGAAGGGGGAGGAGCAGGGAGGAAAAGGGGGAGCAGGGAGGAGGAGGGAAGACGCTGAGGAGGAGGAGGACCAGTGTAAACCCAATAGTCATCAACGATGCTGGAATGAACCCTCCCTCCCTCTCTTCGTAAACCCTTACAACGGAGGGAGCTGCCTCCTTGGAAGACAACTGTTTGAAGATCCTGAAGCGTGCCAAAACATTGCTCTCGGGATTTCAACGCCACGTACCAGCCGGACTGCTGAGTCTTGACGATCCGGAATCGTGCCAGAACGCCATTTTTGGGAGTTCAACACCGCGAATCAACATAACTGTTGCGCCCGCATAATTCTGAATCTTTCCACAACGCAACTGTTGCGCCCGCATGGTGGAAAACAGGCCTATCATAGGCTTTCTCAGAAGGCGGCGGGGCTTCTCGGAAGCCCTGCGTCCTTCTGAGAGCCCCCCTGGTGCCTTCGGAGAGGGCTTATAGCTTAGAAAGCTTCCCTGAGATCCGCTGGCACGAAAACATTGCAGCATGTGAGCAGTACAAACTCGACCAGAGCCCTGGTCCCCATCGCTCTGTGGCACTTTTCGAGCCAGATCGACCCTCGTGATGACCCCGAGGTCCGAAACGAGGCAAAATCGCCCGTTGTGAAAAATTGCGACGCCCGGGCAACCGATGTCTTGATTCTCTCCATGGGCGGTCTCCGGAGAACCCGACCGACCCTTTCCCCGGGGCCGCTTTCTCATCCCGAAGCGTTTCTTGACGGTCTTGGGGCCCGTTGGGGGGTCGCCGAGTCCCAAATCTCGGGGAAACCTTTGTCGAGACTGTCGTCCACGCGTTGGAGGTCTGGGGCGCCCTGCGGCATCGACAGCGCCCTCGTTGAAGACTGTCCTGGGGCCGAGAACGGCTCAGGAAAGCGCCCGCTGTGAAAGACATGTTTTGATCTGCGGGGCGAGAGCGAACCTCTTCCGCTAAAAGCTAGGCGGGCTACGCACAGCTTTAATTAGGGAGACAGGGCACAGGAAGGCGGGGCCTCAGGCGGCCGGAGTGGGCGAGGCCCTGGGGTGCAGGCGGTGCCGAAGTGGATGTGCAGGAGCAGGTGCGCCGCGGACACCCCCCCGTTGTGAAAGTCATGCGATGCCTGGATCTCAGGGTCGGCCCAACCCTCTGAGGCTTTCGGGTCATGACTCGGCTCTCCCGTGGCCGTTCGGGACGATTCGGGCACCCCCAGATCGCGCCCTCGGCGAGGCGCAGCCGCTGGAACGCACCCCTGTGCTCGAAAACCGCTGAGGACCGAGGAAAGCGCCCGAAACGGCCAGCGGCGTCGACGGCGACGTGTGAAAGTGGAGGAGGAAACATAATAGTATCGGGAGGAGGAGGAGGAGGAGGAGGAGGAGGAGGAGGAGGAGGAGGAGGAGGAGGAGGAGGAGGCTTCTCACAGGGTCAGAGGCCCTCCGAGCCTCTCGGGGAGGCATGCGCTCGCCCCCTCCGCCTTGCGCCCCCCCCCATTGGGCGCGCCGCCTGAGCAGCGCGCACAACGTTCGGGGGCGGCCAAGAGGGGCGGCCAAACGGGGCCTCTCGCAAGTTTTCAGAGGTGCCTGGGGCCTGGGGTGGTCTCCGGCAGCTGCGCCTCGCCGGGGGCGCTCGGGGGGATGCCAGCATCGTCCCGAAGGGCCCGGACCAGCCGTCGGATCGACATGTGAGCCACGTTCGGGGGCGGCAAAGAGGGGGGTGATGACTAGGGGGGGGTGGATATCATGGCGTGGGCCATAATATTGCCCCAGATTTCATGGCGCCTCTTCTTACTTCATTGAGTCCCTGGCCCCCCCCCCGCCTGGACCGCGCACGTGCCGCCGGCCATGATTTGCGCCCCCCCCCTCTCGGACGCCCCCCTCCTCGCCGCCCCCGAAGCGTCGGCGGCGAGCCCAGGGTCGGTGGTTCAAAGATGGGGTCCTGAGGGATGGGGGCCCCGGGTTACGTCGGGCGTGTCCCTCTACAGGAGGAGTATTCAAAAATAGTTAAAACATCGGGGGACGATCTTTTGGGCATTTGGGGGACGATCTTTTTTTTTTTTGGGGGGGGGGGGGGACAATTTTTGATTTTTTTGAGTATTCTTCCTGTGGGGGGACACCCGACGTAAGCCCAGGGCTACAGGAAGGGATCCAGGGGTGGAGACTTACGTTGTCTGGGCGACCTCGTCCCTAGGATTAGGTCGGGCCTGTCCCCCTACAGGCCGATTTTGGACGAAGAATAAACAATACCCCAAAACATATTCCAACTATGTTTAAAACATAGTCCAGAAATAGTCCCCATACTGTTTTTTTGAACTATTTTGGAATATTCCTCCTGCAGAGGGACGGGCCCGACTTCACCTTAGGACCCTATCCCTCAGGGCACCTCCGAGCCAGCGAGCAGGGGGGACGGCCCCAGGGGCGGGGCCTCCTCGGAGGGCTCGGGCTGCCTCCAGCCTTGAACGTCGGGCCTGTCCGCCTACGGGAGGAATCTCCAGAAGCAGTCACAAAATAGTCTGGGCTACACTCGTCGCGTGGCGATTCCAGGACACCAATGACTCAGGGACCGTGCTCTACATCCGATTGAAAATTGCGGAAGCCATGCCGCATGCACGTTCCGAGAAGATTCGGCGCTCAACAGGCAGCGCCGCAACTCTTAAGCGGACCGCGAGGCAGGTCGACGATTTTTCAATTGCTTTTTTTTTGACCATGTTGGACAATTTTTTGACTATCTTGCATTTTTCCCCCCAAAATCCGCCTGTAGGGGGACAGGCCCGACCGAACTCCAGCCTTTTGAGAAGTGTTCTGAGCCTTCTCCGAAGACGGAGCAAGCTTCTCAGGAGGCGCGAGGGCTGCTGAGAAGCCCCGCCGCCTCCTGAAAAGGCCTGCCCCCTCTTGCTTCTCGCCGGGCTCGCCGCCGATACGGGGTCGAGAGCGAGAAAGAGATAGCCCATAGAGGTTCCAGGAGCGTCCCTAACACCTCCGGCCTTGCGCCGGGCCGTGAAACGCACTACATCCTCGTCGGGCGTCTGTCCAGTGGTTGCGCCGCCTCGCGTTCTCGCGGCCAGCACCCTGTGCCACGGAGCCCAGCCAAGCGCTTATTCCACCGGCTGTCTGCGCAAGCGGAGAGCCTGCCTGGAGGTTGAGAGAGGCCGCGCGGCCGCGCGGGCTTCACCACTCAGCCTGCGACCGCGGCCACCCAGGGGTCGAAAAGTGCCAAACGCCTCTCGTCATGTATTTTTCCCGGAAAGGTCCTCCGTCTGTCGGCCCGGTCTGCCCTTTCCTGTCGTTCTCCCGCCCTCCCCCTCCCTTTCTCGCTCCCCGGCTCCTCGCTGTCCTGCCTGTTCCTGTCCCTTGCCTTGCCCGCGTTTCTTTGTCGGCCCGTCCCGTCGTCGGAATACGAGATCCGGGGGCCCACACTGCTTCGCTGGCGAATGGCCGGGCGTGTTTAGCATTGTTTGCTTGTCAGCCTTGTTGGACGACCTGCGACGCCTAGGCTTAGCGGTGGGTAGGTCGACAGTGCGAGGTCCTGGCAGAGACGGGCCCGGAGAGGGCTCCGCCCTGAACGAACCTCTTTCCCTGGACACGGCTAAGGGCCCAGGGTTCTCTTCTAGTTGGGCCCCCCCGGCTTCGACATGACGGAAAGCACCCTCTCGGAACGAGAAGGTGCTGGGAGTATGTTGGCCCATCCCTAGTAAATGAGGAAAACATGAATAACTAAGACGCGAGAGACCACTGGCTCGAGGGTGCAGCGATTTTTCGCTCCGCGGATGGCGAAAAACGCTTTTTCGGATTCAGAAGGTAGCGGGAGTTTGTGAGTCTGAGAGTGTGATATAATAACCGAGAACAAACTCGCGAGGGACTACGGGCTGATCATCGATTCGCTCGGCGGCTTCCCCTTTTTCGGCCGTTTCGCCCCCGACATCCCTGGAATCGACGATCCGCTTTGAACGCTTTAGGGTAAGCACGAGGCGTTCGCTCGAGACATCCTCGAACAAATGAGATGCCGAGATCGCTCGCGAAATCGCTCGAGAACTCAGACATGGCCGCTTCGCTCGAGGCATCCTCAAGAAATGGACTTGGGTCAAAACGGCCGTTTCGCTGGGGACATCCTCCTCCACAAACCGACTTGCTCGCAATTTCGTCTTGGCTCCCGGTCCCATTTCGGCACGCCCCTCACACTTTTCGTGGCCCATGGGGAGCTCAACCGAAGGCCCCAGACGCAGGGTCCACATGCGGCTCCCCGCTCACCGCATGTCCACGTCGACCCCCCCCCCGCACGTTCACGTTTTGTGGCCTCACAAGGAGCTCGACTGAAGGCCCCAGTGACAGGTTCCACAGGCGGTTCCACACCCACCGCATATTCATGTCGACCCCTCACACGTTTCGTTGCCCCATAAGGAGCTCATCCGAAGGCCCAAGTGGAGGGTCCACATGCGGCTCCCCGCCCACCGCATGTCGGCACACCCCTCACACGTTTCGTGGCCCCATAGGGAGATCCACCGAAGTCCAGGGTGGCAGGGGCCACATGCGGCTCCCCGCCCACTGCATGTCCATTTCGGCACACCACTCACGCGTTTCGTGGCCCATTTTTTGGGGCCCACCGAAAGCACACCCTACACAAGTTTCGGGGCCCCACAGGCTCGCGGGGACTCCCTTGCGCGCTGCCACCAGGAGCTGCCCGACGCCCGCGCGCTCTGCTCAGCGCTCTGCCCGTTGTCGTCCGCCTGTGCTTTTTGTTCCGTGCTTGCGGGCAGTCCGCGCGCGTCGCCGTGACTCCTTCGGGGCGACGGGCGCGCGCCGCGGGGACTCCGCAATGCGCGGTGCCCAGAGCCGCGGTCGCCTGGACGCCAAGAGGAGGGAAGACGAGAGAGGAGATTCCGGGCCACCGCGGGCCAGGCGCGCAGCCACGCAGCGCTGCACACGGGAAGCAGGGAGAGGAGTGGCAGAGCCGAGGGGGAAGTGGGCACGAGATGGCGGCGCACGGGGCTCGCGCCAAGCAGACTCCTCCCCAGGGGCAGGTTCTCTTATCCTGACGCCTTTTTTGACGGGCCCGATGCCCGGCAAAGGTCCCCCGAAACCGACAGAAAAACGGCACCTTCCCGCCGTGAGTTTTTGGACGGCGCGAGGGGGTCTCGGCCTCCGCCCCGCAGTCCTGCAACATCGCGAAGAGTCGTGGCCAGAGCCCCAGACCCCATCGTCTGCGCCATTTTCGAGCCAGGTCGATCCGCGAGGATCTTCATGGTACGAGACAGGGCAACAAAACCGCTCGTCGTGAAAACATTGCGACGCCAGGATCTCAGGGTCGGCCTAACCCCTCGAGATTGTCGGGTCATAACTCGGATCTCCGGCGGCCGTCCGGGACGATCCGGACACCCCCGGGAACGCTTTCGGCGAGGCGCAGCCGCTGGAGAGCACCCCGAGGCTAAAGAACCGCCGAGAACGTCCGAAATCGACCGAAGTTTTCGAATCCCGAGCCGAGAACGCCCCCCCACCCCCCCTGGAAGAGCTCCTCGCCGCGCGAATTGGGAGCTTTGAGACGGGGGTCAATTCAAACGGGGGTCAGCCAGATCGCCCGATCTTGCAGGATCTTGCCGGGCCAGGGTCGCACTGACCTGGGTTTGGGCGCAGGATCCTGCAGGATCTTGCAGGGTCCTTCGCATTGACCCGGGCTTGGGTGCAGGACCTTGCAGGACCTTGCAGGATTTTGCAAGACCTGACTGACCCGGGTCTGGATTTACCATGGTCAGAAGATCCCCTGGCAGCGGGCGCGGGACAGAATCGCGAACGCATCCAGGGGTGGGTCCTCCTCCTCCTCGTCCTCTTCCTCCTCGTCCTCCTCCTCCTCCTCCTCCTCCTCCTCCTCCTCCTCCTCATCCTCCCCTCCTCCTCCCCTCTCCCCTCCCTCCTCCTCCTCCTCCTCCTCCTCCTTCTTCCCGTCCTCCTCCTCCTCCTCCTCCTCCTCCTCCTCCTCCACCTGGCAGCGGGCGCGTCCAAGACTGGCACGGCCGCGCGCGGAGGGCGTGATGCCGCTCCTCGTGCGGGACGTGTCCAAGAACGGCACGGCCGTGCGCCCAGGCCAGCGGCCCCCGCCCACTGCGGCGCCGTCTCGCCCGCTCCCCGCCCCCCAGTGGGTCAGGA